TATATATATATATATGTATATTATATGTCTACTATATTTTGTGCTATTATATTGTCATGTTCAATTATTGTTATTGCTATTTATTGACATATAGTTTCGAATGGGTTGTGTGTTGTATTACTACATTGGTTTTGTATCCTGTAACTGGGTATTTGCCTGTTGGATATGTAGTGAAATAAATAAATAAATAAATAAATAAATAAAATAAATACATAAGGAATTTTTCCAAACAATGTTAATTTTCTTGTTAACTTTGTTATACCAAAGTCTGCTAGAAATTTTCCAAAAGTCTCTCCTTCATATGCCCAAAACACTCAGTGGTATCGAAGTTTTTAAGCTCTTAAGGGTAATGTTCCTTATCTCCCAGTATCTCCGCTACCGGTTGACATAATTGCTGGCAAAATCAACGAGTGTTTGCCTTTACTTAGTTAAATTATTTCATCTATCTATGTCAAATATCTTCAGATACATTTGCATACTTATATCTATTTTCGAAAACCTTAATTCTGTGTATTTTGAACAAAGGTTCATTGTCTTCTTAAAATAATGCAAAAATAATCGTCTCCTGAAATATTTTTATGCAAGGCTTATGTTACACCCTGTATTTTTTCAGACGGATTCTGTACCTTGTACCTCAAAAACAAAAGTCCTTACGACATACGTCAATATGTTTTGGTCAGACGTCGAATTTTCTCGTTCTGATGACGTATGCCATGATTTCCATTACACTCCGTATAAAGCTATCTCAAAAAGTACGCTCGGTTATTCGCTTTGGTGGCGCGTCACGTACCGTCCAGACATCAGAAAACAGCCAATTTTCGCTAGTGAGACACGACATATCCATTGTTAAACATTACGCCTTCCCCTATTTGATCGGTTTGAGCAATAATTCAATAACTTGATGAAAGGGATAAAATAAAACCGGCTGTAATAGGATAAGACATCTTTGTGCTTTCAAGCTAATCAAATAGAAACAGCAGCGAAAGTGAGTTTCTAATAAAAATAATGGAATGCTTTAATCAATTGTTGTTACAGGTACGAAAGTGGACCTTCGAATAAATTCCTCCAGCACAAGTATATCCAGAGAGAGAGGAATAAGGTTACAGAGAAGGATAGGAGCCAAGTTTTATGTCGAATGTTCGTCAAAGTCTGGCGAGGGCATCCCCAATATTATCGAAGCTGCGAGCAACGTCCTTCTAACAAGTCGACAGAAAAAGTCGTGCGTGGTACAATGAGGATACGACAAATTTTAATTTATTCAGTTATTATACTTACACTTAAACAAATTGTATATACCTACCTTAAAATAACGAATGTGTTAAAAATGATATAACTGTTCTGTAAAATCCAATAAAAAGGCAATAGAAATACTTTTATTGGGCTATAAACAACGGTACGGCAATTTTACTCAAATAACGGGTTTTGGAAATGGTAAAAAGTTGATAACTAATGGTTGAGAGAAGTAGTTATTTTTCATTTATTGCCACATAACTTTGAAAAGAAAAAATGATATCAAGGATAATCTTCATTTCCGTATATTAGAATACGTCGGCAGTTATTGGCTTTTATTTCTTTGACTCAAATGTCTTTGTCATTGAGCCTTGTTAAATTTTAAGTAAAGAAAAACCATGTCGTTATAAAAGTGAAATGGAAATAACTTTTATATACAGAAAAAAATGAAAATAATAGTGACCGACCCTGTTTATTCGTTTTACTGCGGCGTCTTTGAAAATACCCAAGTGGCATGACATAACATTCCTAATATTTGATAAGCTTTAGATTATTCAGTTATTAAATGTTTGAAATTATTTGTCTTTGTGGAAAACAGTATTTAAAGAATATGGCGCCCTTTTAAGTTAAAATTTAAATAGATATCAATGAAGAAAAGTTAATTTTGCAAAAAATAAAAAAAAACATCCGATTTTATATATTAGGTACCTAGCTGATTAGGGAAAAAATACTTTTCAAATAAATGTGCAATTATTTTCCAGATCTGAAGGTTGGCCGCCCCGATTTTGATTTCTTAATTTGCAAATTTTATTCGAAATTATCTCATCATAAAGTTCTCTGTGTGACGTACAAATCGTCACCTAAAAAACGATATGGGTTTCATGCTTCATTATTAAAATATGTCCAGTTTAATTTTTGTTAGTCGTCACTACAAATCCTCATAATAACAGAGCAAAACCAGAAACCGGAATAGTCATTAAAAGTTGTTGATCAATAAATTACAATCTATTCTATTTCTCGGACAATTTATTGAAATTATGAAATTTACCAGTCTATTATACATAACCACATAAATTTATTAGATGGAAAATTTGTAAACATAAAGTAGATTTAACGAAAACATAATAGTCAGCCTACATCGCATCACTGTTACCGTAATAAATAAATTAAAATATGCATGGTATTTTATTAAAAAGGAATAATAATAAAATTTCTGTTGCACTGTCAAATCTCATTAAGAAAAAACATATGCATTTAGCGTGTTCCAATGAAAACTTGATTCTTCTGTAACTCTGGCTGTCTCATAATTAGCTGCCAACCCTGAACAGGCCGATTCTATGATCAAAACTAAGTAAAAAAGTTCATATGAACATGGGTTACAACGCGATTGAGAGATATTGCAAAAAAATTATTTCCCTTCCTCCCTCTTCAATGGGTCCCTGTGCCCTTAGGAAGCATTTCCGGCCCCATGTTCATAAGAACTTTTTACTTAGTTTTGATCATAGAATCGGCCTGTTCAGGGTTGGCAGCTAATTATGAGACACCTTGTATAATGAGTTTTAAAAAAATGGTTAAAAAAAAAGATACCTACATTAATAGAAAAATTGGCGTTGCCATATTCATACCCCACTCACGACAACTGACACCCCAAAAAATGTACACCATTTCATACTTTTCAAAAACAGACTATATTTGAGTAAAGTAAAAAGTTTCTAGTGAAATTAATCCAAAGCAAAGACGATCATTCATTACCTAAAATAAAAATATACAATAAACTATCCAAATATTGTCAATAAGGAAACCTGTCACAAAGAAATTACTAAGTAATGTTGCAGAGCTTTAGAAAAAAGTCCTATTCTTATTTCAAAAGCTCTAACACCGTTTTGGACAAAGTCCAATACGAAATTCAGCCCGATACAGTTTTGAATAGAACCTTTTTTAAACTATTTATTAGTTCTTCTTAAACTAGTACTTATATACAGTATATAATATGGTGTTTCCATGACGGGGTATATTTTTATTACTATCGTGTTGTACAGAAATTCTGAAGACTGAATTTCCTGACACATGAGCAGGATACGGCCTTTACGTTCTCCGGATCAAAATCCTTTAGATTTTTATTTTCAATGATATTTTAAAAATATAGCAAATGATAAAGAAGTTGATGTTGATGCATTGTTACATCGTATTGAAACTGCAGTCAGATTTATTAGAGAATGGTAAGATGAGCATGACTTGTCAATTTAGAGAGTTCGTATATACAGTGCCTTCATAAATGCCCCACGTCATGTGACCGCTACTACTAGGCAACGAAACTTACTCTCGGTGCAAGGATTAACAAATAATTCCCTAAAAACAGATGGTAATCCAGTGGAGCACATTTTACATTCCTTTACAAACTTTGACTTTAATCTGCAAAATGTGTTTCTTTTTCAACAGAAAAAATATATTTTTTTAATTTTTACTAAGGTATTTGGAATTTGTATCCCATTTTATATTGAAAAAGTATTTTTTGATTGAAGAAGGTAGAAGGTTAGAAAATATAGGCTCTTTTCTAATCCATTTTCATTCAGAGTTAATGAAATCAATGTTAATAAAATATAAAACGTTTGTTTTATTATGATTTTTTTTCTATATTTAATTAATTTACCCTACAATGCTGGCATAAACACAAAGTTTTTTGCAATGCTAATTGAGAAACGCATAAATAGTCAATACTTTTCCAACATTTAATATGTATAAGATCCCTAGATCGTCTTAATCATTGGTATTAATGGCGGAAAATTTTTGAGCAGTAATTTTGCATTCTGTAGAAACAATCTGTCTTATTTTTATTTATCAAATATTAAGTAGGACTGGAAAATTAATACAGAAAGGTTACTCAAATTTATAATTTACTCACATGATCCGAATTTCATTTTTTTTTTCAGTTCTACATTCTGTGTAAGTGCCCCTTTGGTGTAAGAAATTAAGAAACATGTTTGTTTTTTAAGTTGTTTAGAATTAAAATGATGTGATTTATCCAAATAAAACATTCATAATAGGTCTACTATCTTCAAATTTGGTATATGGAACACTTTTTATTTTAAAAAGCTTTTTTCAATAAAATATTTGATCACTTATGTGAAAAAAAAACACTACCTACACGGATATTTTTGTTGCTTATGACAAAATTTCCTCAATTTTTCAGAATTAAAAATATACTACAAATTCCTTTTTATTTTTTTTTTACTGACACCTACCGTTAAGATGACCTGAAGACACCTCTTACGTGATAAATATTTCATTTCATTTAATTTTTTTTGTAGAGCACTCCCTGTATATGTTGTTCCACTTAGAACTACATTATGGTACATTTAAAAACAAACCGAATTTGTATAACAGGGACGACTTTTTTTATAAAATAAAATAATAAAAAAGAGCTTTCCCTCTTTTCAACTACACCCCTGTATATTTTGCCACACTATTTTATCCACACTTCTATCTTTCTGTAGATATTTGATATCACAAAGTATATATAATTTAGTTTGATGGAAATTAGATAACATTTTTTTAGAATTAATAAAGTACGGTATCAGTGGAATCAGTTTTTAGAGTTAATGTGAAATAAACACGGTAACGTTAAAATAAACATCATTTTTAATAACTCAATGGGACAATATTTTAGGTGGACCACAATGTATAAGAGTCCCGTACAGATAATATTGACCGCGGAAAGTTTTCCAATATAAGAGTGGTACTTGATGCAACTCAAGCGTGTTGAAGTTCTATTTCATCGCCAGTTTTTTGTGAGTTTTTGTTCTCTTTATTCCGTAGCTTCCCCTGCTCCTACGAACTTTAAGTGAATTTTATCCGGCTAAACTGTATCCCATAAGTTGGACAAAAATAATTCAGTTTTATCGCCAGCCGCAGAATTAACGAGTTAGTCTGGAGAGCCTCAAATATACAGCCCAAAATAGGATTATACAGGGTGTCCCTTAAATGTCAAATTTTTAGAGTGTGTTTTTTATTTACATGTAACATTAAATGGTAAAATAAACTAAGAGTCAGTTTCGACTCCCTATGAAGTATAACACCTTGAACGTAAATAGTTCCCAATCTTAAATCTCTTATAAACCATTTGAAGAATCAATACTAAGTTTGGATACATTTTTTGCTATTGCAACTTGGAAATTTGAACCCACCTATAGTCTGTTTAGAAATGAAAAAGAGTAATAAAAGCTCATTATGTATGCAAATCGTAAATAAATGTAGTACTGGTGCTTATATTCAATATTTATATATTATGTTTTATCTGTATAGAAGAGGTGTACTTTTAACAAAACTTTGTGCGATCGGACTGTACTAAATTGTAGCAGGTAGCTAAAATTTAATCCCCGACAATCCGTCTTTGTCTATGCCGCTTCAATTTCTCGGTCCATTTCTCTTATAAGTAAACAATATAAAAACAGCATTTCAAAACATGAGGCTACTTTAAGCATCATAACCGGGTTAAGAGGGTTTTTAGTAATTCAAATAAAATTATTCAATATTATTATCAAAATATTTATTTAAATTTAATGAATAGACTTTTATTCCACACAAAAATATATGTATTTTGAAAATTCAAATTATGGTGAGTAAATGTAGTGTTGTATAAATGTACAATAAAGAAAATAAAAAAGTAGGTATATTAAAATTCATCCTCTGAATATTCTGATGAATTATCTTCGTCTCCTAGATTGATAACGATAGGTTCCACAGTAACGTCAATTAAATTATCGAGTTCCCACATTTTCTCCTCTTCTTTTTGTACATGATGTATACATCTTTGCCAGTTATCTGCAGTTACTCGTTCCAAGGAATTTTTTAACAAAATTTTCACGTCACTTAATTTAAACTTCGTATTATATCGCGCTACATCTCCTTTTACCTGCGCCCAGACTAATTCGATTGGGTTAAGTTCACAGTGATAAGGTGGTAACCGTAGTACCGTTATTTGGCGATTTGTTGCCATTTCATCGATAACATATTTTTTCTGATCTTTATTAAGATTGGCAAGTGTCAAAAGTTCATTTTTCACCATATTTGTTTCAAAAGAAATGTTTTTTCCGGATAACCATTGAATTATATCGGCTTTCCTCCAAGCAGTCGTAGGCGTACGCTCGGTCTGCCGTGAACAGTAACTAGCATTATCCATGACAATTACAGACCCCGGAGGAATAAGATCCAACATCTGTGGAAAATACTCTTCGAAAATATCTGCGTTCATGTCTTCGTGATAGACGCCTGTATTTTTAGATTCAAATAAAAGTAAGCCGCCATATACAAAACCACTGGCACTACCTATATGTGTCACTATTAATCTTCGCCCTTTACCTGAAGGTGCCTTGAACCCTGTTGAAAGTCCATCCAAAAATGCTTGTCGAAAACTTTTTACATTTTTATCTTGCCATACTTTTGTTACAGTATATCCCTCGTTGACCCAAGTTTCGTCTAGATAATAAATATTCCTCCCTTCGTCACGGAATTTTCTTAAGTAAAAAAATTCAACTCTCGTAAGATGGCCCATAATTTGCTTCTACTGATTTTTGGCAAATCGTTGTCCTCTGAAAGTTCACTTAAAATTTTTTTTAGCGTTGGTATTACTTTTTTAAAATAAAATGAGTGTACTTTTATGCGAATGACATTTTTGAAGAAATCTATGATGCATCCAGTAAAATATACTAATGTACACCCATTACCTGTTAGCATTAGTGTTACCCGATAATTACCTGAAACGAAATATTAGCACGCCCATGGCCGGTTCTTATCTCGGGGTTTTATTACTCTCTTTCTTTTCCAAACAGACTATAGCTTCTATAATACAAAAAAAAAATTTTTTGTTCCTTAGAGACTACAAATTTAGGATAAAAGCGTGATAGTAATTGAAAAAAAGAAAATAATTTTTAAAAAGCCCTGCTAAAGGACACAGTTTTTGAGTAAAAAAATGTGTCCCATCATGTAAAAATTAATACCTACCAAAACACATCAAGAAAAATATGAAGTTCATGACCTTCATAAACAAATAACTTATTTCTAAAAAAATGTATTCTGTAGTAGCTACGTCGTACATGTTAAATATGTATATAGTACAACAATACAATAAATATATGTGATAAATATTATGTTTTTCTTTACACTTTTTGCGTTTATTTTTATTATGTGAATAGATATAATTCATTACAGGTTTTACACAATCTTCTTAGTATTTAGAAGCATTTCATATCACAGATTTCTTTGATGTGTCACTAGTGATAAATAATAATTTCCTAATTTTTAATTTTACTCGAAAACCATATTCTTCAGCAAAATTATTTTCGTTTAGATAATGATTACGTAATGTTTAGGAACAATACGCGTGTTCCTTTAATTCTTTCCAAAACTTTGATTACTTGGAACAGAAAATAATTTGATGCATCAAATTGTCAATTTACAGGTAATACTTGCCTGTCTTGAGCGGAAGTTGCAGTGCGGAAATAAGTATCTTCTTTGGAAATATGAGGACCAATCTTCTGCAGCAGATTCTCGAAGTCATTAGATGACATTCAAGTAAAATTCTTATATTGATCGCTTATTGCTTGCGACTTTAAGTCCATCATAACCATTCCGTTGGTCATTGGTACCATTCCGTTTTTTAACAGGTTAGTGTGCCACCAACGTCGGTGTTCCCTTTTTTTTTGCACAAACTTGCCATTAACAAAAAAGCACCACTCGTCATCGAAACAGCGTAATTTTTATCAAAATGTCTACTAAAATGTTCGTGGGTCTTCTTTGGATCGCGGAAGGTTTTTCAAAATGAATAATTCAAACGAACATTGGACGAGCAGCGAACGCGCGGCGCGCACACCGCGCGGGTTGCTCGGCGCACAGATGTATACGTACCTTAAGAAAAATAATCCCAATTACAAAACAATATATGTACCGTTATTAAGAAGTTTTCCTTGATCTATAAAACACAAGACTAATTAATTTTACCTAAAGACGATCCTGCTTTTGTGCAGTGAAAAGATATGTGTTGTAAAACAAGGGAAAATTAATTTTTATAAGTGGGCAAAGTTCGCAAGATGCAGATTAAATGTCAAGCTAAATTAAGTACAAGGGGTAATTATTTATTTAAGGCCTGCTTATCATTTTTAAACTTTAATTTTGTACGGTTTTTCCTAAGACTATGTAACAAGAATTTTAAATATTTACGAGTTGAGTTAGAATTTACAAAATTAATTCTTGCTACATGGAATACCTGAAAACTGTAGGAGTAAAAAAGAGCAACAAAGGGATTTGAAATTTTTATAAATTGTGCGTTTTGTCGTTAGAACTTGGATGAATTTCTGTCTTAATTAAAGTTCTTACTTCGCATACAGTAATAAAATAGTAAAGACCAAAGTCTTAGCAATATTATACATACATGCACACGAAAAGACAATTTAATGTTGCGTTTCTGAAGTGTAAACCAAAATTTTGTATTTTTTTTATTTAAATAGGGTGTCCTAAAATAGAAGTAAGTAATTTTGATCGAAAACACAGGTTTTTAATTAAAAATTGTATATTCTTTATTGATTCATATTCATATCCGTTAAATAACATCCACGGCTTTGTTGGCACATACGCACCTTTTTGTGAAAATTTTCCAAGACCGTTTTGCATACCTAAAGCTGATTCGTTGACACAGCAGTCAATTTCCTCCTTCATGGCTTGGGTGATCGTGGGATTGTTGGTATAAACCTTAGACTTCAAAAACCATAGGTCCAACGTCGTTAAATCGCATGATCTGGGCGGCCAATTCTGATCATCAAAATGGAAAATTAAACGAGCAGAAAATGACATGCAGTAATTGGATTGTTTCCCGGACTATATGGCTTATGACACCACCGTTGTTAAAACCACATGCCGCCTACGTGCCATATCTTGCGATTTAGGCACAAAAAACTGGATTGTCATGTCGTGATATTGTTATTACCTAACCAGTCGAAGAAGAATGGTCCGATGATATCAAAAATCCGCAGCAACACGTTGTCAATGCATTTGTTTCTCAACAATCACTCGTGGATTTTCTGAACCCCAAATGTGATAATTTTGTCGATTAATGAAATCATCAAGATGAAAATGAGCCTCTGGATTTCTGGCGTTCTGGAGTTGTAGGGAGGGTAGCAAAGCTACCGGATCCAAAAATATTGAGACTCGATGCACTCTTGGCTAACTTGTCAGCTTTCTTATTGCCATTGCACCGCTCGTGTCCCTTGATCCAGCATACAGATATGCTGTTGGAGGCCGAGGCCACAACCAGTGCTTGATGGCATTCCCATACCGTCCTAGTCATTATCTTGTGATTACGCAAGGTCAGTAGTGCTTGTCTACTATCTGCGTAGATTCTGATGGTTTTACCCGTAGTATGCCTGCGGGCGATTTCTTTAGCGGCTATAGTTATGCCTGCTAACTCCGTTTGTACAACGGTAGCATGCCTATCCATTGCCCACTTATATCGGATGTGCAAGGATCTAGAGTATATTCCACATCCTGCACCCTCCTTCCTCTTTGATCCGTCTGTGAAGACGCTAATTACATCTCTACGGGCGGTCTCCTCCTGTCTCTTTGTGAGTACGGTGTAGGGTTTGTCAAATGCAAACCGGGGAGAAATACTGTCAGTGTCTGCCTGCAGGAGGGGCGTCTTCCTGACGACCTCATTCTACAGGCGACTTCTGACTTCTCCACGTCCTACAACCGGTTTTAAGTCAATGTTCTCGAGGCGAAGCATGGTTGTCAAAGCCATTTCTCTTAGATAAATATTCAGAGGTGGCAGACACAGTATTACCTCCATTACTATGGTGGATGTTGTACGCATAGTTATGCTCAGACAGGCAGTCCTTTGTACTTGGCTGAACTTTTGTCTAGCTGTCGTTTGCTGGAATTTCGGCCACCAGACGGCAGCCCCATAGGCTAACATTGACCTCACTATGGCAGTGTATATCCACATAACCACATTTAGTTTCATGCCCCAGGTTTTGCCAACGGTTCTGCGGCACTGCTCATAGGATATGTACGCCTTTTTTAATCTTCTTTGAAAATGAGCCTCATCGCTGAAGATGATTTTGTTTGACGAACTCTTTTCGTTCTGTTTGGTCAGTAGGCTTCAGTACCTAAGTCAGTTAAGCTTTGTGAGCATGAAGAGGCAAAAACGATATAGAAAGTTTCTCGAAATGTCCAATTCTTGATCTCGGTGCCGAATTATTGTTCCTGGATTCTCAGCAACACTCTCACAAACTGCTTCGATGTTTTGTGTTGAACACCTTGTTGTAGGACGTCCAAAGTGTTTAAGACCATTAATTGATCCAGTCTCCCTGAATGTTTCAAATAATCTCTTCACAGTTGATGAAGTTAAATCATATTCCGACTATATTTTGTACGAAAAGTGCGAACTGCAGCTGCCGAACATTGAGTAATTTTAAGACAATGCTCAAAATGAATACGCGTTGTTCTTTCATGTAGGACTTTATTTTTAATAACCCTGAACAGTCAACTGTCACGCTTTCTTTTTTTTTCAAATTCAAATCTTGCGTAAATTTTGGAACACCTGATAGAACACACTATATGTTTATTTTTTTCTAATAATATATACATATTATATATTTGCTTCAATATTTTAGTATAGAGTCAAGATTGCCATGGAACCAGAGCTTGTGTATGCTCTTCCGCTGTTAAATTTACTAAACAACCTTTAAATTGGAAAAACATATTCTTATAAAAGGTGTTCTATCAAAAGTGTTCTAAACAAAAGACCTATTATCCTATGATATCCACATACAAGTTACTAGGCGTTATTTATTCACTTTATCTTTCATAACATTATATTCCATAGTGTAGTCCTCCATAAAAAGAACTACATGGATGTCTTCTTGTGGAAGATAAAATAACCATAAAAAGTGTTAAAACAAGTACCTTTTTATAATATCAAACTAATAAAGTAAAACCAAATGACTAGTAATACATGTGGCAGGTGAAATAAGGTCAAATAGTTGTTTATTATTTTTTTAGTATTAATGATAACAAAAAAAGATATTTTCAGATGTTATGTTTTCCGCGAAAAAATGCTACAGTGATTTACAATACCATCCGGTTTAAAACTCAGGACACTCATTTAATTCTCTTAAACGGGCAATTATATGGTCCGTAAGAAGTCCTGATTTTACTGCCATGTAGTTCTGGCTATGGAGACTCCGGAAGATATAGTAAACAAAGAACGACCTAGTAACTTAGAATTGTCTTTTGTCTAGAACAGAATGGTCGAACACTTTTTATAATAAAATAATTTTTGAAAAATTTTAAGGATTGCTTAATAAATTTAACAGAAGAGTGTATGCACATGCACTGGTTCCACGACTAAGTTTACTTCATCCATTGCGGAAAATCAGTAAATATATCAAAATATTAAGCAAATTATCAAAGTAAATATACAGGGTGACTCAGAACTTATCCAAAAAAAATTGTTAAATGTACAGGGGACTGTTGCAAATACAATTTTGAAAAAAAAAAATTAAAACGGGCAGTTCGAAAATGATTTAAAAATACTCTTCTGCACGGCACGGAAAACTGGTCCACTATAAAATCTGACATTGCACAAGGCAAAGCATGCAGTCGGCGACCGGGATGGCGGCAAAGTGTAATAAAAAATTAACGGACAAAAAATTTAAAGAATTTCTTTCACAAGGTAATAAATAAATTTTATGGCACATATTTTATATCAGCAAATTCAACTGATTTTGCCGTTATTGTTATTATTAATTAATATAATTAAACTGGTTTTAATTAATAAAATAATTTGACATATTTACCTGATGTTAAATCAACTGTTCAAAATTTTGTCCACCGACGTGTACGCACATTTGGGCCCGTCTTACCCAGTTTCTATGAACTATTACAAATATTGCCATGTTTCACCATAACACAAATGTTGTCTTGCTTCACCATAAATTAAAACGATATCCATGAACTCCGAGTTGCTATACATGTAAGCCATTTTTGACACTAGAAAAACTGTAAATATGTAAATACTATTGCAAAAACGTTAATACTAAAATTGTATTTCAGTATTCGAAATCTCCAGGGGCCACGTGGGGAAACAGCGCATTGCATACAATGCACAACGCGAATGGCGCTAGCGATTACAGTAGCCCAGCGATGTAAGGGTTGAAAATAATACAATTTCAATAATTATTTTCTCGGAAACTATAAGGATTTTACAAAAATGTTTTTTACGATATTGACTCCATTTTCTTGGATAAGTTGTGAATCACCCCGTATACGTTTATATTATTGGAATCACAAAAAAGTAATTTCGGAAAACGATAAATATGCAGGGAATTTCATTTAAAAAACACAAGTTTGTATTTATATTGCTGACATGACAATTTTTCTAAACAGATAAAGATAAAAATGATAATGAAGGTAGAATGTTAGGTGAATGCCCATATTTCCCATATTACGAAATTTTATTATAATAAAATTACGTTTTTTGTTTTTTTTTTACTTTATTACACATATAAATCAGTTTTGTTACTGATATTGGAAGTAGATTATTTTCAAATTATAAAATATAAAAAAACTGTGTCCAAAGTTAAGAATTATTTATAAAGTTCATAAGATATAACAGCTGTATTTATACTTTCTATAGAAAAAACAATTTACAGAAATATGTGAATATAAAACAAACTAATTTTATGTTCATTTTTCCCGTCAAACTAGTCCGTTTGAATCAAATACCATTTTCATCAAAATATCATCACTGATTCTAGTTAAAACTCAACCACAATACGGCCAATCTTATTCAGCGCCACGAGTTAGTTGTGTAGTTTTTTCCCGAATGAAATATTCCCTGACAAGTGAATTAATGTTGTTGGACCCTTGTCATGACCTCCTAGATCACCAGATCTGAATCTGACGGATTTGTTTTTAAAAGGGTTATTTGAAAACGCTATATTATAGATCGTAATCACGCTGCTGTTGCGTTAATAGACGAAAATGTGCTGTAGAATTTTTGTGACTCATCACGCGAGTGTTTGCCTTGAACGCATTTTGTTATAAAAATGATTTGTAATATAATTAATTTTTAATAAAGTTTAAATGATGCATAGGTATTTGTTAATAATAACTAGGTAAAGAATGGTAATTTTAAAATTTTCCAGTGTTCATATTCGATTCTAAACATTAAATGCGTCATTTTTATGACGCCCACAGATGAGAATTTCATATAGTACTAATAAAAAATATTAATCCATAATTATTATTAATTCAAGTATGTGTAAATGTCTGAAACTTTTATTAAAGAAATATTTTGTCAACTAACAAATCTGAAAACATCCACAATTTTTTACTTATAAAATAAAATGTAGACGTAAAATTCTTAGATGAGAAATGGTTACATAGCGATGCTATAAATCAATGTTCGTGAAATATTAAATTTGAGGATGAAATAATGCTGTTATCTTATCTTTTATGTGATAAGACATAGATAAGACGTGCCAATGTAGATTTGTTCTGACTGTGGCTATCATTGTATATCCTTTTGCGTATAATATGGTAAATTTGTGATATTATGTGTCTATTAAAGTAAGTATTCCTAAAATACGTATTGAGAAAGTTATGTGTATTCAGTGTTTTCCGACTTTCTTCATTGCAACCTTCTTCTTCAACGTAAATATTGGTTAAACATGTTTGTGATGTATTCACATATTCCTTAGTAAACATCAAACGTTCATACTTATTGAATCAGCAGTATTATAGGTATTTAATAAATACCGTGTATCCTACGTGGTATTTGATGTCTTACTGTACAAGTACATGAAAACTTTTTAGATAAAACGCTAAAACTGAGAATGTAGCTAAGGTACATGTTTTGCTTTTGACAACTAGCTTGCTTTAGTAACCAAAATAAGTTTAATTAACATTGGCTATTTCTTTTACTGAATAATTTTTAGAAAATAAGGTGCTTTAAGTTTTCCTCGTATATTTTCTAATGTGAGACTATAATTTACAAATCATTATTATTATTATTTTTTTATGAAATATACAGATAAAGAAATTTAAACCTATGAGACAAATTCCCCAAATATTAGTACATAAAATACCAAAATTATGGTAAGTTTCCTACCCTCAACAATTTAACTAATATATTGGTGATGGCAGAACTAATTTATTGTAAATTTCAGGGATTTATGGTGACTTTTAATATTGATTGACAATAGTACCTACCAATTTTAGTATTTTCTACAATTTTGACTCTTGCATCGTTTGCACGTTTCATAATTAGCATTTGTTTATACTAAAAATTATAGCTTCATATTTAACAAATATAAATTGACCAATTTATGAAAACATAAAATATGCCACAAATATAGAGAATTGGGTCAATTTCTAAACCAGTTTATTGTAAAACTAATCTTAACAGGTATTTAAGATAAGTGTACCATTTTCATAACTTTTATTTGTTTGAAATAAATTAACAAATTTGTTAACTGTTTGTGCAGGAAATAATTGTGTAATAATGAATTCATTATTAAGAAAATGCCATACAGGAACTATGAAACTGAAAGGAAGAAAGAACAAAAAATGTGTAATGATTTTGTTAAAAATTCTTATTACTATCATTTCATTGTATTATTAGGGATCAAGGGATTGGAAGATTAATTTTATTGGTTATCCTTGAAAATAAATGTTTCTAGAGTTATACTGGAGAATGAAACAAATTGATCTGTATACAGGGTGATTCAGAACTTATCCAAAAAAAAAAAAATTCTGGATGTACAGGGGACCCTTACAAATACAATTTTGTAAAGAAAAGATCAAAAAGGGCAATTCGAAAATGATTTAGAAATACACTTTTGCACGGCACTGGAAACTGGTCCACTGTAAAACCTGACCTCGCACAATGGGACCGGCATGGCGGTGTGATAAAAACGGACAAAAACTTTAGCAAGGAAAGAAATATGTAAATAGAATTTTATCGCAACTATTTTATATCGGCAAATTCAACTGCTTTTGCCTTTATTAATTAATAAAATTAATTTGTGTTTTTAAATAATAAAATCATTTGACATACCCGATGTTACAACAATTGTTCAATATTTTATCCATCAATGTGTAAACACATTTGGGTCCGTTGTACTCAGTTTCTACGAAATGTTGGCTTGTTTCACCATAACACAAATGCGTCACCATAAATTAAAACGATATCTATTAACTCCGAGTACACGCAAACCATTTTTGACACTAACTACCCATTTTTGACACTAACTACTAAAAACCTAAATATCGCAACGACGATTGCAAAATACGAATTCATTATTCGGAGTCGATGAGGCCACGTGGCTCTCCACGCGCATTACGAATGACGCTAGAGACTACAGTTGTCCAGCTATGTAGTGGTTGAATGAACTATAACTTCAATATTTTTTTTTCTCGGAAACTAAAGATTTTACAAATTTTTTTTTACGATATTCATTCCATTTCTCATGCTGCATCTATTCCCAATTTTTTTTGGATAAGTTGTGAATCACCCTGTATATAAGTTGGCTCGATTAAAACCCACCTGAAATATTTTCAATGCAACAAGTTTTTCCGGAAAACCCCGAAACAGGTCGATTTTGCTTTCAAGGGACATCTTTTGATCATAAATTCATGGATACAGGGTCATCCCCCTAAACGGGGTGGTAACCCCTTCAAGAATCTTAAATGGCACCGCCCTTTACAGGCGTGCTGAAATTTATTTGTTCTGCCTTAAAATTAATGTAAAAAACCTGTTGGAAGTGTTAGTGAAATAAATCCAAAAAAAAAAGTTTTCACACAAATTTTAATTGATTAAGTGTTTTTATTATCCGGTGAGTTTTTTTATTACTATTTCAAATCTTTTTTTTCGATTTATTTCAGCGACACGCCCAACAGCTTTTTTACATTAATTTTCAGGCAGAACAAAAAATTTTCAGCATCTTTGGAAAGAGAATTGAAATATCTTTAAAATCGCCACTTAACCCCCCCCCACGTGACATTTAAGATTTTTGAAGGGGTTGCTACCCCGTTTAAGGAGATAACCCTGCATCCATGAATTTATGATAAAAAAAATGTCCCCCTTGAAAGCAAAATCGACCTGTTTCAGAGTTTTTCGGAAAAACCAGTTGCAATGAAAATATTTCAGGTGGACTGTTTTAATTGGGCCACCCTGTATATAAACGTTTTTACATGGTGGCTTAAACGTAACATAAAATAACGCGCATAATATACATATCAAATACTTCCGCTTTAAAAAAAAAGTTAAAATAAATAAACTGGGATATTTCTGTATAGTGTAATAATTTTTTTTCAAATATAAATCATCCTCAGTCGTATTTTCCAACATCTATTACCCTTTATATGTCTGTCAGTATAATTAAACTATATTATTGTTTTAGTTTCTGGTCAATCAGTCTTGAAAAGAATCCTTTTATAGTTTAAAAACAATAATATTGACTTAATTTACTGTTTCTGTCTATTAGCCTTATTACTGCCTTATTTCTATAAAATCTATTACAGGAATTTTCTCACGATATCTTTGTTCCAGTTCCAGTCATGATATTAATACAAATTTATAGAAAATATTAAAATGTCCAATAATACGATAAGGATAACAGTGGTTGGTGATGGTGATACTGGAAAAACCTGCATGCTTATCGTCTACAAAGACAAGAAATTTGATGATCGATATGTACCTACAGTGTAAGTTATAATATTTAGCTTAACACTAAAGTTATTAATACAATTCCTTCGTATTTAACTGAAATTTTAAACTCTTATTAAGATGATAGTCCAATTAAGTGGGTTAAGTCGCAATTTTGGTCAACTTATCTGAGTTTTTGATATAAGTTGAGGTATATAATAACAATAAATAACAGTAATTTTAAACCCCCGGCCAGGGGTGAAAAAATGTTTAAAATAAAGGTGTTTTTCAAGATAACACAAAAGGGATAAGAGCTAGAAAAAGAAGTTGTTTCTTATAAAAGTGTAGAGCATAAAATCCTACATAAAAATGGTCTTTTTCTTGTCCTAATAAAATTAATAGAGTTAGGGGTGATTTCAGATATTTAAAAAATCATAACAAGCAGAAAAATGATCAATTTTATAATTTTTTCTTCAATCTACTTACAGAGAAATAGATATATTTTTAATTTTTAATAAAATGTTATAACAAAGCGAATGTGACTTTTTATCATTGTCGTAAAACAAAATTTGGAAAGCAACTTTTCATTATTTTAAATAATCAATCGAAAGGCATAGAAAAAAATTGTTTTATCACAAAAATTAACGATTAAAAAAAATTTAAATTGTTATAACTTGTTTTTCTAGTTCTTGCCCCTTTTGAGTATCTTGAAAAAACCCTTTATTTTATAATTTTTCGCTTCTGTCCGGGGGCTGAAAAAAATTACTGTTACTTATTGTTATTATACAGTGCTTTCTAAAAGTAACGAATAAATTCATTATTTTGAGAAGTTTTCGAAAAAATCCCCTGACACATCGATTTTGTTTTTGAAAAAGGCTCTTTTTGACATACGACCCATATTTGTGACGTCATCGTTGTTCGAGATATGACGTCATCGACAAATTTTTTAAACAGCAACCCTCAATTTTGACCATGCCATTTGAAAGAGCGTATCATTCTACATACACAGATCATGAAAAATTATGGTGTTACATAACAAAAATTTCTAGAAAATAATGTTTGAAGATTTTAAAATTTAATTTTCACAATACTGAAAATGATAATGATTATGTAAAAATCGACTAAATGGTGCACCTCTCCATTATGCAACACCTATCCGTGCATATTTAGATGAGCTGTTCCCGAATCGTTGGATAGGGAGAAGGGGGTCGATTGAGTGGCCTGCCAGATCGCCTGATTTGACACCCCTAGATTATTTGTTGTGGGGATACTTAAAAAGCAAAGTATACGTTACTAGACCAGTTAATTTAGAAGATTTAAAAGCAAGAATTCGTCACGAGGTACATCGTATATCTCCTGAAGTTATTGATAATGTCCAAAAAGAATGTATTAATCGTCTTGGCTACTGTCAGGCAGCCAACGATGCACAATTTGAACATTTAATTTAGTCGATTTTTACATAATCATTATCATTTTCAGTATTGTGAAAATTAAATTTTAAAATCTTCAAACATAATTTTCTTGAAATTTTTTTTATGTAACACAATAATTTTTCATGATCTGTGTATTGTGTAATGACACGCTCTTTCAAATGGCATGGTAAAAATTGGGAGTTGCTATTTAAAAAAATTGTCGATGATGTCATGTCTCGAACAACGATGACGTCACAAATTTGGGTCGTATGTCAGAGTGCCTTTTTTAAAAATAAAATCGATGTGCCAGGGGATTTTTTCGAAAACTCCTCAATTTAAAAAATAATGAATTTATTCGTTACTTTTCGAAAGCAGTGTATACCTCAAACTAACTTATATCAAAAATTCAGGCAAGGTGACCAAATTGCGATTTAAAGGTCCATTTAATTGGACTATAAGTAAAAATACTGTCTAAAACCGGTTTAATGTTTTAGAAATTGAACATTAATTAAAAAAAATAGTTGCGCAACTATTTTTGCTACAAATCACTCTATTCCAAAAAGTGCAGTGACATAATTTTACTAATAGTAACAGAAAAATGTGAATTACTCTTATATTAAATAAGTTCGAAATTGTTTGTATCAATGATCCAATTGTTTGTATCAATGATCCTATTTTGTCATAAACTGGCAATTTTGCCGTTAATTAACAATTTTCTTTTATTAGATTTTAAATAGCAATAATTTTGTATTATCTCTTTCAGTAATCACACGTTGTTATATTTACTCTTATAACTATTGTACCGTTCCACGAAAATAAGTTAAGAGATAAGTCGGCAAGTTATAATTTATATTTTCCAGGAATTTTATATTCCAGGAATTTTACTCTCAAGATAAAATTTTTCTATTCGATTAATGATATATCAAATGTTTGATTCATATATTTCCAGTATAATTATTTAATTTCATTATAAATCAATTGATAGCACGTTATTGAATTCATATTTTTTCCAATAGATTTGATGTATACTCGATGACAATACCCATTAATGACCTGGAATACAAAGTCATATTGTCAGATACTGCGGGGCAAGAAGAATTTGATAAATTAAGGCGAATGGCATACAAGGATGTAAGTACCTATACTAATAAGTAATTAATGTATTATGCATAAACTTGCACCAAAAATAGAACAAATGTATAAAATATTTATACATAAACATATAACAACTGCTAGAAAAGTAGTTAATATGAAAATATTTTCTTTTATTCGTTTTAGTAGAGAATCTGCTCCCACTATAGTAAATAGACTACTAATACATTGTTCTTAAGGAGGTAAGTGGATTTTACCGTAGAAGTGGAAATTGCTATGGACAACGGAAGGCAAGTGAGGTAACTTACCTCTCTAGGGAAATAAGCGATTTCAAGTTATAAAAGCATATTTTATGAACATTACATTTTATTAATAATTATTATGAATGAATATTTATAGTAACAATTATTATTACATTTAGTAACATTTATAAAATCTGGAAAATTATTCCCCTCGCATTTACTAATTGTCACATTTTTCTCAAAATGATTTGACCGCTCCATTTCAGTCACTGGAGGCTCAATATTATCTGACTAATCCATTAAAACAGCATGATGCGACGTACCACTAGAACCTGGAGTTGAAGTGTCATTGTAAAGAATCCTGTTGGTTATTTCATTTTTGTTACTTAAACTGCCAGTAACACAACTTTCTGCAATTATGGTTGACTTCTCCCACCATGTCTCTTGATTGCTAATACATCAACGCCTGTATTAGCCAGTAACGTTGCCGATGTTCTTCGGAATGAATGGCCTGTATATGTTTCACGACGTTTTAGTTTAAAAAACTATGCAATCTTATTAAGAATCATAGAAAGTATATTTTTGCCGACTGGTTGGTTGTAACATCTACCTGCTTGATAGCGCATAAAAAAGCGTGAAATTTCATTTTTATATCTTTCTTGATATATTTCTTGAGAATTTTTAGGTGGGAAACAGAACCTAGACGAGAAGTAATTGTAAACGTACGTGACATACCAGTTTTAGAATCTGGAATTGTAACTACAATAGTGTCATCGAAATTTTTGAAATTGACGTCCAAAACTTTTTATGTGTATAGCTGTCGTTCTTACGTTTCAAAAATGCTCTCAGCTTGGGGTATTTTGATATATCCACGTTCTCCTCTATGACACAAAAAATGGTTGACTTAATCATTGAGTATTCACTGCACAAACTCGCCGGTGACTTTAAAGTTCTTGACTTCTCCATGAAATATGCTAGCAGTGATATTTCAGAAACACCAGTATTTTTGTTCTGGCGCCATTCTTTGAAATTTCTATATATGCTCGTCCGTAGCGTCCTTTCGACTTCTCGGGCAATAAAAATTCGCAGGCAGCATTTGCTGCACTTTTTATTTGAAAATCACTCATTCAGAAATAATTATTCGAAACCAGCATAATTGCAACTTTTATGTAGCTTTATTTATAAACACCTTAGAAAGAACAAAATCCAAACAACCAAGGCGACGTTGCAAGATTTCGAATAATATCAAAATGAATTGATTAAGAAATGTCAAAAAATAAAACCTAATCTTTATTTCATGAACTATAAAGAACTGTGGGAGCATATAAAATGTTATACACCACGCAACAGTTAAGTATAATTTACCAGTCTCGGACTATATTGCCAACCCTCGCTCCGCTCGGGCGCATAATCATTCTCGACTGGTAAATAATACTTACCTCCTTTATGGTGGTAATAACCATTAATATGTTATTTAATTGTCACTGGTAGTAACAGAAACAACTAAAAATTATAAAGTAAATCAGTCAGTTCCTTTTTAAATTCAATTATTTATTACTTACTTTCATTTATTAAGATTGAACATAATTTTACATACACCTATATCTTGAAGCTTTATCTAAAATTAGTTAAACAGTCCCAGTGAGAACACGAACCTTAAAAAAACTTTTATTTGATACCTTAACCTTCAGTTGAATAACCATTGAAATGTTTCGCTAATCAACGTTAATTCTAATTATAATTTTTACATTATTTTACAGTTTTTCAGTACTATAATAACTCTTATTTGAAGCTTCTATATAACAACTTCATAGCTTGAATTTACTTGAAATTACACGCATGTGCAAGTAAAGTTTAATTTTAAGTTTTTAGTTTTTTCCCTTAAGTTTACTCTATATGTAATTTTATGGAGTTCAACTTTCCCTGTTTTTATAATGATTAGTTGTAATGTTCACATAACCTGTAGTTCACGATTGTTGTAAATTACGTTTGTTTAATCTTCGGTTGAAAATTCATGTAATTGAAAAGGTTTTTAAGCTGTTCTGGGGTAAAAAGTTACCTTAAAGTACTGCAAATTTAATTTTTGATAATGGAACCGAAATAATTTTCTTATTCCTTTAGTGCTTGTCCTATTATCAATATATGCATAATATAATCGATGATCATATTGAACTAGTTTTTACAATGGCATCAGACGTAAAACAATGCCACATGTTTTTAAGGAATTATTAAAGTGTAATTAATAATACTATTAAAAGGAATTTTATAGGTTCTGAGTATATTTTCAAAATAGTCTTTCTTCTAAATCTAAAAGACAAATTCTGATTATCAATTTTAAGGAGGTATTGCGTTTTTCCGAGAATTGACGTATCACATAATTCCATAATTTTACCCTAAGACAATGAGTATATTTTACTTAGCATTAATATAAATAGTAAATCTAAAAGTTATCAGGAAACATTTTGTGAAAAGACTTTTAATATAAGAACATTTTTGTCCATTTTTTTTTAGTTATTTTTCGACATGGCCCAATATCGCACTGAAATATTAACCTCCTTTCATAATTTATGACTCAACGTTACTATCTAGCTTTGAAATAAGCGAAGTGCATTATGTTAAATGGAAGCAATTTGGCTGAGTTGTGCCCTACTGGGTTATTTATTTAAAATGTCTTATCCAGTTCAGATATGTGTCTGCCAGATAATCTGCCAGGAAACTTTTATCTATAAAAAAAACATAATTACCAAATTCACAAAATTAATATTTCATATCAGCTATATACAGGGCGTACAACGTAATAGCTAATGTAACTTTAAGAATTAAAAATATAATCTGCATCTCTAAAAAAGTTATTAATTATTAAATAAAGTATTTACAGATTTTGAGAAAAAAATTATATTTGTTATCATTATTAATAGCACTATACTCGTACAAGTGGGCGACTGTATCGTGTTTATTAAAATATATCACCATGCATATTTCTTAAGATTAAAGGACTCTTAAAATTATGCTACTTTTTACTTTTTTTGTTATTTCAGGTAGACGCTTTCATCCTGACATATGCGGTGAATGAAAGAGATTCTTTTGAAAACGTATTTACGAAATGGGCGCCAGAATTAAGAAGATTTGCACCAAAAGCAAAAATTATTTTAGCAGGTGAGACAATGGGAAATTTAATTTTGAAACTGAAAATTTTAATAAAAAGTTTTTTCAATAAGTTCCCTAACAATATTTGGTACTCTATAAAATAAAAAAATATATGTATCAAAAAGTGTAAAAAGAAAGCCAAGTGTTCTTTTAATGAAATGGCATGTAACTTTACATACATATCTGTATAGTACACTTTTTAGGATTACAGACTTGATATATCTTTATTTAAGAACAAAAAGGTATGCGCAAAAGAGTGCATAAGCATAATATATTTGACAAAGATGGCCACTTGGAAAACGACAAGAATTTCTTTCTAAAACCTTATGCTCAGAACACATCTTTTTGGCATTATTTCTCACATCTGTACTTATAATATCAGTCAAAATTTCCTTGCTGTAAATCTCAGCTATATTTGCAATACGTATTCTGTCGTGAGGCACGCTGTATTTCTATTGGAGCAAGCTAAAAATATTTTATAAAAATAAAAAAATCCAGTAATGAAAACTGTGTATAATTTATAAAGTTTGGGCAAAAAAGGGTCTTGGATTTTGACCAAGATAATATTTCACGTCATAACTCAATTTCCTGGCTCTGTTTTATGCGGTAAATAAATCTATAGAACATGCAGATTTAGCTTATTTGAATTCATATTTTACGCAGCCTTTTATATGTCAGCGGATAAAAGTGAAAACATTCCAATATGTAAAAAGTGCTAAGAAAAAACATATATTTTTACATGTATTTTACGGGCCACACATCTCCTACGGTCAATAAAAGTGTGATTAAAAGTATCTGTATCAGCTTTATACTCTTTATTTTTATTAATCAAAATAATATAACTTTAAAATTCATTCTTATTGATTTCATTGAATATTTTTTTTCTCTAATTATTTTATGAATATATAAATTAACCAATTTTATACAGCAATGTTCTTTTAAACATACCTGTAAAACTGCTCTCTTAGATCAATATTTATGCAAGGCTGATTTTTTAAAACATCTGCATTACTATCGGGTGATATTACTTTTACATCAATCGATCATTTTACGAACATTTTTTATGCCGATGACGCCTAATAATTCTGAAATTACTGTTTACAAATGGCGAGCTGCAACCCATTGCTCATGACAACATCTATAAAACATTATTGGCTTATCTGAGGCTTAGATAAACCAATAATTTTTTAGATTCTAAGCGATACAGTGTACTTTATACATGTGTCCATATGATGTGGCCATTATGAGGTATAATACCTTCATAAGTTTAATATTTCATTTGAACAATTTTCGTGTGAACATTTTCACAAACGATTATAACTTTAATGACATATTCTTTGTAACAGAACATTTTTTGGCAGAGATACATTTCTGTCAGAACTAACCAAATCCCTGCAAGGTGTTTACAACCTCGTAGGAAAACTGTAAACTCTTACAGTGAATTTTGTGATGTGAGTATGGTCCAGTAATTACGTGAATTTACCTGGGAAAATTTTTGGTATTTGGTGATTATGTGTATTTTGAACTGGTTTTTTATTTTTTATTTTGCCACTTTCTTCTCAAACGTTACAGCTACAATAAAGAGGAATTTATACCTCTGAACACTTATAGGCACCTCTACTTCATAAAATCAGCATACAGGAATAAGCAGCAGCAAGACAACATTCGTTTCGACCGTATCATCAGGTACAGGAATGGATTGGTAATGAAAAACTTGTAGATAAATGGAGATGGAAGAAAGACAAAAACGATCTTGGCCCTCTGACTACACTCCAAGCCCCTACTCCAGAAGTTCTTCTTAAACTAATTTCTTGTAAATGCAAGAAAGGATGTCGGGGAGCATATGGATGTAGGATAGCAGGACTCAACAACTGTTCTACAGGTAATTTGCTTAAACTGTGACAACAGATGTGACAAAATGCCTCAAGCATTGTAAGATAATGATGACGATAAAGATACTGATACGATCTTAGAACCACTGTATAATGAAATCGATACAGAAAGTAGAAAAGAACCTACTGCCAAAATACCGCCAGAAGAATTGATCACACACGACTCTAGACTTCATTGCCTTCAACTATCAAAAACATCGATAAAACTGATCTTCAGGGGCGAAAGAAGTTATTGTAATTTTCATTTATCAATTAATGTGCGGATTAGGCCTACTGGGCAAACCACAGAAAAAACGCGCCATATACTCTAATACTTCATGGTGGTGTGGAAATTTGTATTACTTTTCACTCCACGTTAAATGAAGACATTTGTTAGTCTCCTGTCCAAAAGGGGTCGGTCTATGAAAAAAATAGTTAGGACCTATTATATAGCAAATTTCCTGGTCTTTAATTTGTTATATAACTATGTTTGCTGTAAAAGCAACGAGTAACGAGATATCTTAAAAAATCTCTTTTTACCGAGGTGGCAAATGAAAAATTTGAAATGAGACGTAATGCAGAATATCAATTTTCCAGCTAAAGGTAATTTACAGCAAGTAATTACTGGGGCTAATATGACAATGACAAATTAAACAATGTTTAAGGCAAACTCATTGTGACAATGACAAATCCAATAAGGCTTGAAGCAAGAAGTTCCACTTTAAACTCCCACAATGAATTGTAAAGAGAGAAATAATACAAGACCCTACCAGCCTTCAAGTTCATCATATCTTAAACTTTGTGATTTCAAAATCATTAACAGAATGGTTCCATATATCATACCCTCTACACCTGAGAATCCATAATACGATAAGGCGAGTTCTTGGACTGCTCTTCAATAACATTTCGAACTGGCAAACTTCCTTTTGAACAAAAACAATACATCACAGCAACCACACATCTAAACTGGTATTTTCCACCGGAAAGACTAAGACTGCGAGCACATTCTTCAACCATAATACACCTGAATTTATCCAGAATATTTCTTCACAATGTATCACCGCTACAATTTCTCTTAAATGCATACCATTAATTAATTAAAATTACATACAGTGATGTTGCATATTAAAGGAAGAAACTTAAGGATATTATCCAGTTTTCATTGGTACTATCTCAAGAGGTAGAACTGTAGTCAAACCTGTGCTGCAAAGTTTATTTTCAAGATTCAATTGTTCTTATCGGAGAAAATTCACCCTTTTATTAAATCGCTCATATCACTGTTTTCCATTTAAGGTTATACAGTGTTCGAGGTTGTTAATAATAAACAGTAACATAAATGAGAAGATCAAATTGATCGAAGGAATAGAAAAAGTATTATGCTCTTATCAAACAATATTCTACTACACGTCACAATAACTTTATTTTTAAAACACTTAGATTTAATTGCTCTTTTTGTAAAACTTATTATATGCTTCAAGATTACATGCTGGCTTGCATCTTTTTCGCAGTGTTTTCAAACTAATTGTCAAGTTTTTTAATAATAGTATTTATATTAATAGAAATATTTTATTCGATTTTTTTTTAATTCATATTGTTTCCACAACCGTAGGTGTTAATCTGTATTTTTTTATTTCAGGTACTAAATGTGATCTTAGATCTCATTCTCCCCGTCACGTGAAAACCGAAGATGGCGAGAGGTTAGCGAGGGATATAGAAGCACACGGCTTCATAGAGAATTCATCGAAGCAACAACGAAATATTGATGCAACATTTCAAATGGCAATACTGTCAGCTATTTCTAATACAAGATTTATCAAGAAGAAACGAAAGAATGACTGCTGGCTTTTATAAACCTAGTTAGATTGTAAAAATTAGGACTAAGTTTCAGTATAAATGAAAACTAAAAATATACTGTATTTATTAATTTATAGCAATTTCATGGCGTTTGTTGAAGAGTTTCCCAAATTTTAAGCTGATACCGATTGTTATAAAAAAATTCAACCAATTATTTCCAATATATAGGGTGTTAAAAAAAAGAGTGTAAAATATTTAAGGAGGTAATAGTATGAACCAAAATAAGCAGAAAAGTCTCAATAAACATGGGTCCGCAAAGTAACGGTTGCGGAGATATGGAATGTTTTATGTTTTTTAGCCCCTTTTTTTATTTTGCAAAAACGTTGTGTATTTTCTTATAATAGTTGGTTGATGTTTAGTGAAATAAACAGTACGTATTTGACAGTTGTTCTCAGTGCACAAGTTTTCTTTCGCTATGGCTGGTTACTCTAACGCAGAATTAACAGACATGCATTTCATGTATGGTCGTGCTAATGGGAACGCCACCGAAGCGCGACGTCTTTATGTTGACGCTTATCCAAATCGCCAGATTCCTTCACAACGCATGTTTGGAAGAATTCACCAAAGATTGCGTGATACCGGTTCCTTGAGCAAACAGTGCCATTTATCCGGAAGACCAAGGTCGGTATCCACTCCTAGAGCAGAAGAAGAAATTCTAGCACTGGTAGAGCAGAATCCAGGTACGAGTGTGCGGAGAATATCAGCCGAGGTAGGAATTAGTGGTCCTCTTGTTTGGAGAATCCTTCACGAGCAACTGCTTTATCCATACCATGTGCAACGAGTACAGGCCTTAAATCCAATAAATGATCATCAAGCACGTTTGGTTTTTTGCCGCTGGTTTCTACGTCATGATGCTGAAGACCCTCGTTTTCTTGCAAACATTCTTTTTACTGATGAGGCCGGGTTCACAAGAAATGGAGTGTTTAATTTTCACAATACGCATATTTGGGCCGACGAAAATCCTCATGCTCTAATAGAATCTGGACATCAGGCACGTTTTTCATTAAACATTTGGATGGGTATTGTAGGTGACAGGTTTCTAGGTCCTGTTGTTTTACCAAACCGATTAACAGGCGCTGCTTACCTCAACTTTCTGCAGAACACACTGTATGAGTTTTTGGAAGACATTCCTTTGAATCAGAGGCAACAAATGTGGTTCCAGCATGATGGTGCTCCAGCTCATTTTTCCATGGCCGTTAGAGAGCATTTACACCAAACTTTTCCACATAGATGGGTAGGAAGGGCCGGACCTGTTTTATGGCCTCCAAGATCGCCTGATCTGAACCCTCTAGATTTCTTTGTTTGGGGATATTTGAAGACATTAGTGTATGGTACTCCTGTAAATAGCCTGGAAGAGCTGCAGCTACGGATTAATCAAAAGTGTCAAGAAATCCAAACCAAGGAGGGTGTTTTCGAAAGAGTTCGAATATCGTTGAGACGAAGATGTCGTGCCTGCTTGGAAATGGACGGAGGGCACTTTGAACATCTTCTGTAACTTTGTTTTTTGTTTGTTAAAAGCTTCCTTTGTCGGTTTATTCCTAATAAAATAAAATGTTTGAAAAACGAATAGTGGTCCATATCTCCGCAACCGTTACTTTGCGGACCCATGTTTATTAAGACTTTTCTGCTTATTTTGGTTCATACTATTACCTCCTAAAATATTTTACTCTTTTTTTATCACCCTGTATTTTTACAGAGCCTTCATAAATGATTACAAGCCACGTGACCAGTAATTTTGTTTAAAACGGTAATTTTAATTCCTTCATGTTGGAAACTAAATTTCGGTAAAATTAAAAATTATTAAAACAATAAGATCAAGGTTACATTAAAACACAATATTCTATTTCACCAGCTGTGATTGGTGTAAGATTCTATTCAACCAATCAGCAATTTAATTATCTCGAGCGTAGACGTAATGGTTTGTCATTGTTCATTGTAAACGAAACATTAATATTGGTGACGCTAACATTTACAGATTTTGTTGTTACCAGTACCAGTCGTGCAACCTTGGGTTGCCTAAGCTAGCGTTTTGCAATTTTATAATAAAATTAAAAAATAAATGCGTACATTTCTTTAAATTAATTGTATGCTTTTATATAAATGTAAGTTCAAATTTTTTATGAACGTTATTAAAAAACTTACAGGTATCTCTTAATTTTGTATTTTGGCAGAAAAATTACCTGAAATAACTCAGAGAATATGCTACTTCAAATGAGTTAAATTTTATGGGTTACATATCATTATAAAATCTTTTATTGTTCCCAAAATGTGTATTTAAGAGTAAAATGGTACACTGTGGTATTATTAATATTTCTTCCTGAGAAATTAAAGCTGTTCAATTAGATCAACAACAAATAAATAAAAATCTCTCATTTTAGAATTCAGACTGATATTGGAATTGGAAACGGGCAAAGGTCTTTGTCACAAAGCGAAAGACTTATTTGCTTATTCCTTATTGTTATTTACTATTGCTATAACATACACCCTGCAGGTTCCAAAACCTTTAAATTGAAATACAATTTGTTTATTATTCAGAAGTGCATACTAACTGAAAGTACCGGGGGAAATTACGCTGTTTTCCTTTGTCATTTATATTAATTACTACTTTTGAATGAGTTTTACGTAAAAACAACTTTAACAAATATTTTCTCTCCTAGAAACATAGGGGAGTACTTGTACTTATTTAATTGGAGAAAGAAAAATTTTGATTGGATATCTGATTCGTGACTAGGAGGTAAGTTCCACAGAAACAAAGGGTAGGAAGCGAAAGTAAAAGCAAATGAAACAAAAAAACTTTAACCAAAATCATTTCTATATTTTGGATCAACAACTACCACTTGAATTAAATTTGCCATTAACTATGTCCAGTTATCAACCTCGTCTAAAGTTCTTAGCTTGGCTTAAGGTGGCTTGTCTATTTAAGCAACTGAAACCATGCAACCAATCGCCGAATTTTCTACTAAAGTTCGGTGCGCGATGGTTCTCAATTCACGGACCGTGTTTGAGCATTTCTCATAAAGATGTATTGCTTTTGCAAACAATTAGTTAACGGATAAAACTAGAAACATGTGTCCTGGGAATTGGCTAACATTGGTTCGGACAGCAATTTGTCGCCATGCATTTTAAGCCCATTTGCATTCTGTTAATAACATAGTAGCAATCAATACTATGATCGAAGAACACATACGTAGAAAATAAGAAATCTTTTTCATGAAACTAGTCATTAGCGACTGGCTACCTAATATACCTTCATGAAATATAAACGGAAATACAGGGTGGTCCGAATTTAATGCAGGAAACTTCTAGGGCAGATAGATCTCTTTAAAATAATATGTGTTTGCCGTATAAACATTGGTCTGGAACAGCCCCGTTTTAGAGATACAAGGTGTTGAAGTTGTTAAAAAAAATTGATTTTTTGTTTATATCTCCAAAATCTATTAACCGATCTCAATAAAATTTGGTACAGTTAATGTATGATAGTAGGCCTTACATTCCCTAAATTATGAGCTTTAAAGATTTAACCAGTGGTGTACAACTGGACAGGGGTCACCCTTTTTTTACAAAAAAAACTACGCCACTGCATTTTCTACAAGTTATTGTAACGGATTTATATTCTAATGCACAAAATACTTAAAAAAGGTAACTTGAATTTTTTCCCTAAGATTCGCCGTTTTCAAGTTATTCATACCAATACAATCCCCTTGTGCAGACATTTCCACCCATAATATTATAAGAATATTTATGTTTATGGTATAAAGTAAGTGCAATTTGTAAGCACATCAACAAAATTCTTCCTTACGCATTTTAATTTCCCCTGGAAACCTAACCCACTATCTTTACAAATAAGGACAACTTGAAACAAAATAATAATAAATGTACATTTACCAAAGGCGAAGGGTAGTGAATTTTCACAACCTTCATATTTGGACACAAGAAAATCCTAATGAAATTCGTACCAGATCTTTTCAACACGAATTTTCTGTGAACGTTTGGCTCGGATTAATTCGCAATAAAGTTTGTAGACCTTCCTAAACGCGTCTAAATTCCCGGTCATTTCTAAACTTTCTACAAAACCATCTATTTGAATTATTAGAGGATGTTCCATTAAAGCTGGATACAATGGATGGTGCTCCTGCGCATTCTGGGAGAATAATATAAGAATGGCTTAATTAAAATTATTTGGGTCGATGGATAGGTAGAAGACTAAATGCCAATGTCAACCATAACTATGAGGGTTCAGTGTCTTGGCCAGCCAGATTGACATATCTAAAGCCCCTGGACTTCTATGTTTGGGGTTATCTGAAATGTAAAGTTTATTCTACTCCAACAGATACAAGACCACAACTATTGCAACGAATAGAAGACGAGTGTAATACAATTGTTGTAAATATGCAACGATAATTTTGTTTCTTGTTTAGTTGCTGCTGCTTGGTAAATATATTTTTTTATTATTTTGATTTAATTTAAACTAAAACACGCCAGGAACACTACCTCACAGGTGGTGTAAATAATTTTGTTGATGTGCTTACAAATTGCACTTACTTTTAAGCATAAGCATAAATATTCTTGTAATATCATGGTTAGAAATGTCAGCCACAAGGCAAGTATTGGTTTGAATAACTTGAGAACAGCGAATCTTAGGGAAAAAATTTAAGTTACCTTTTTTACGTATTTTGTGCATTAGAATATACATACGTTACAATAACTTATAAAAAATGAAGTGGCATAGGTTTTTTGTGAAAAAGGGGGTGACCCCTGTCCAGTTGTACACCACTGGTTGAACCTTTAAAGCTCATATTTTAGGGAATGTAATGCCTACTATCATACATTATCTGTACCAAATTTTATTTAGATCGGTTAATAGATTCCGGAGATATAAACAAAAAATCTATTTTTTTTTAACAACTTCAACACCCTGTATCTCTAAAACGGGGCTGTTCCAGACCAATGTTTACAAGGCAAACACATATTATTTTAAAGAGATCTATCTACCCTCGAAGTTTCCTGCATAAAATTCGGACCACCCTGTATATGGTCACGTCAAATTTTCTGTTATGATGGGACTCAGAGAATAAGAAAA